AGAGGAGACAAAAAGGCTCCGACGCCACTCTGATCCACCTCTGCATTCATCTTGTCCCCAGTTGCAGATCATCTACCCTGTGAACGAGCCCACTTCAGCCTCTCAATGGCAATGGAGACAGGAACAACAAAGAAGGGTGAGCACATGAGAGCAACATGAACTCTGCATATATTATTATCTCTAGATTGTGAAGCCAACCTTTTTAGTCACAAGCTCATAAGGCCAGCAATTATTGTTCAACAGAACTTGACTCTCAAAGGCTGAAGCCCACATGGAAGTAGTCCCAAATAGATCCAGTTTGAGACTGAACCAGATCTTGTATGTTTACTCTGGAACATGTTTACATGGGGCCTGCAATCTGCTAGCATTCCACTACCAGACTTGAACGTGAACAAATCAGCACTTAATTTCTATCAGTTACTCATGTGCTAAAGACATGAATCTTTCTTGGTCTAGGTCTGGATCCGTTTAGAACTGATCCAGCATAAACTCAGCCAACACTGTTGTGTAGCCTGGCCTCAAAGTATGCAGCTTAGTTGTTATTAACAGTCAAGGGTAAAGTTCTCCTTGCCATTTTCTTCCTTTACACTCATCTTCAACTCTTTGTTTAATTTATCCAGGGTATCTTAACAAGAGGCACAAACCATTACACTGCGCCGTCAAGTCTGTTCTATGGAGGAGATGTGGAAGTGGACAGAAAAAGGACTTGATTTGTTAATTAATTTAAAAGTTGAAAGTTAGAAATATAAGGAGTCAGACAAGCTAGTAGTCTGATTATTCTAAACCCTTATTAACATTTAAAATCAGTCAAGAAAGTGATTTTTGAATGTTATTTTTAAGTAAGTGTAGAACCTGTCCCAAATGGAGGCATGGTGCCTCATGGTTAGTGCACTCCATTCCCGGCTGGGGACATTGTGTTGTGTTCTTGGGCAGCACACTTTACTCTCACAGTGCCCATCTCGACCCAGGTGTTAAAATGGGAACAGGCAAATTGATGCTGGGGGTAACCCTGTGATGGACGAGCATTCCATCTGGGGGTAGAACTACAGCTGTACTCCTAATTTCTTCATGCTACAGAAACCAGAGACAAACTCAGCCACTTGGCTTGTATGCAGACTTAAGCTTAGAAGCTACCCCAAGTGTAAAGATGTAAAATTAACTGAAACATTAGATATGCAATATTGCAGTGCATAAAGAAGACTGATTAGACTTGCTAAATGTACAGGTACATTAAATGCAAAGCTGGACTTTGAAAGTAAGAAGGAATATAGTTAATAGACTGAAAGCAGTCTCGTCCCCAGTCTGTTGATCAATTTGTTTTACCATTGACTTACATAATTTAAGTCAATCCAGTTAAGAATGATCTAGTGGCAAAAGTGAAAGTTAAAAGAATGTAACTACAACCAACATTGAATATAACATTTCCATGCAAATAAAACCTGTGTACTTCAATTGCATTTTGTGCTTTTTCATTTGTTTTAGACCATAATTTTTTATGATATCTATTCACAATAATATTGTAAAAGTGTCATTGAACATTTTTAACCAAAACAGCTTACTTGTTCGGAAAAAAGCATGGACTACAATAATGCACAAGACAATCTTGGTTTGGATAAAATTGTTTTGTTAGTGCAAGTCACAGTCATACCAGGTCCAGATTTAAGATTTGTCTAGAAATAATGGTTTCAAATATGTATCTTTGTGCAACTCTGTCAACATTGATGTTGACACGGTGTCTTAACCCTTTAACCCCTAAGGCAAACAGCAGTTTTTCCCAAATTAGCAAATAAAGAATCTCTGGCTGTGTACAACATACCATTTGAAAGCCACTGAGCAGCTTATTTAAGAACTGACATCAGCACTGCAGCTATGAAGGAGGTAGTCATTTTGAGAGAAATTGCTTTAAACTGTGAAACTGAAAAACGTCCAACATGTATCAACTCAAATATCATAAATATACCCCTGAACTATACCTCATTTAGCAGGTCTTAGTATGTAGCTTGATTTGAAACAAGTTTTGCATTCCATGTGCATCTTAAAAAGAAATTGGGAACTTGTGGGGGTGGTCAATCATGTCTTAGATAGGAGGGTTCACAATTTTATGTTTTCATTGAGCAGATCTTTACAAGACAATTTTTGTGGCAAAATTCACAGAAATCTCTCAAAAATTCTCAAAGTTATGACATTGTGTGCCAAATGGTACTCTTAGGGAGAGAAGGGTTAAATAATATGTGCTACTTGCCAGCCATGTTGGATAGAGTGACAGAATGTAGGTGAATACAGTAACAAGTTGGTGTTAGTAAGTCGGTCTGTCGGCCAGTAAGTCAAGACTTTATTGCCAAAGGTAATAAACTTGTGGCCCTCTATAATACTCATAAACAAATATTGTGCAGTTTTCTTGAATGATCCTACTATCAGGCCCACATACTGCAAGCAGACTGTTGTTTGGGGTTTAACACAACTCAAAGCTGGAAGAAATGAACTGGTGACCAAACAAGAGACTTACTTGTCGGCTACCTCACTGGAAGCAGTGCTTTTTGCTCACCACAAATGTACTGTTAACACCCTGGAACTAAGAACATCAGAAATTTGCAAATCTAAAAGTCAAGCTGTTCCACTAAGAGTGTTGTCCTAGTTCTTATCTAATCAAGACCACGGGGTAATCAAATTATTTTTTAACTGTCTTCTCTAAGAGTCTGTAAGCTTCGGCTGCTTGCTTTTCCAAAGACAGGTGAAAGATCTAGTAAGAGTTTTTATCTTTGTGGGTGATGGTGTAATCTACAACCAGCAAAACCCCAAAATCCCAAACAAAATCTGTGGTACTGAGTTTGCTTCATTTTGTAAAATACCTTTTTGCACGGCCACTCTCCACAGCAGGGTTGATTCAGAGTATGACCATAATAGTCAATAAAAATATACCACTGGTCAGTATAAAATGTTGTGAAAATAGATTTTAATACATCTTCAGAACTTGTGTTGTAATTGATATCATTACAATGCAGTGTTTTCAATGTAAAAGGTAAATAGAGAAAGTTATTGATATACAGGTCAGGTTTAAAGGAGCTCAGTCACAGTATTTTGAGTTATTTTGGCCACATGCAAAATTACCTTTAAATGGTAGGAAACCTGAAAATAACAGTTTAAGAAGATAGAAAAACACCAAAGAGATAATGAAAAACCATGAAGCAACAAGGATGGCAAAGGATGGAGATTATCAACACAGATTAAAAACGACGAATTTGAAAAATTGAGGCTAAACTTTTCAATATGCCCAAACCGTGACGTAGCTCCTTGAAAGCTACAAGTTTGTGGGCCATTTATGTGAGACAAATCATGCTTTTTTCAATTGACACAGGAATTTCAACAGCCGGTAGCTAGAGGATGCATGCATATTTTGAGTCTTCAGATCACAGGGCAGAGGGTAAAGTCTGCATATGGACCAAGTGGCCCACCAGGCCAGAGCTTATCCTGGTTTCTGTAGCATGAAGCGACTACGAGTATTTCTACTCCCTCCTGGATGGGATCCTTGTCCATCGCAGGGTTACCCCCAGCATTATGTTCACCAGTAGCCATTTATACACCTTGGTGGAAAGAGGCACCACGAGACTTAAGTGTCTTACCCAAGAGCACAGCGCAATGTCCCTGGGCAGGGCTCGAGCCCAGACCGCTTGATCTGGAGACAAGCTTACTAACCATGAGGCCACCAAGCCTCCTGCAGGGCTGAGGAGTTGAACTTAATTGGGACTACCAAGAACAAACTCAGCTAGTGATTGAATGAACTTTCTTTGTCTCTTGTTTGATAAATCAAAATGGCTTAGATAAAGACAATTAGGTAACTTGAAGCTCAGCACTCAAGTCAAACATTTACCTTGTTCTGAATTAAAAGTCAGTCAATGAAATGCTGGTTCTCAGTGAGAGTCAGACCATTCAAATGAAAGCTATGGAGTGGTGCTTTCATGTAATATCATCATGTAAGCAGTTCAAGGTGGTTCTAGCTTTTAAGTTTGTTGATGAAACTTAGGTGTGTGACCATTTAAATGGTAGTTATTGAGCAGTTCTTTCACGTGGCACCATCATGCAAGCAGTTCAAGGTGGTTCTAACTTTTAAGGTGAAATGTAAGTGTGTGACCATTTAAATGAGAGCTATTGAGCGGTACATTCATTTAGTTGCTAGGTTTCAGTGTGAGGATGAAACTGGCGTGTGACGATAAACTTTACGTTGGAGCTATTAAGCTGTGGATCCCACTTTAACTCTGTGGACGAATTACCCACTCTGCAGGTGAGTAACATTCAATTGAAAGCCATCAAGCAGTACTGTCATTCACAACTGGTTTATTACACTGTACACATGTAAGGTGGCTAAAATGCTTACATCACTGGATGAAACCCTAGTGTACAACCAATCAGTTAAAAGCTAATGTGTAGCACTTGCATATGATAATATGTACAAATTATGCAGCTCTACATTGAAACCATACTGAATGATGAATGATCAGTACTTTAAGTAGCAGTGATAATATTATGCCTCTTTTATTTAGACAAAAGTTTAGTATTTTAACGCTAACCTTTTGTTTCAAAAGTACATGAATGAATCTACAAAGACTGCCTCTGTAGTGGCTCACCAACGTGTTTTGTTTCACCTCTTTTATAAGTATTTTTATCTTTACTGCAAAATAATTTTCTGTTAGAAAAATCCTCTCCAACTAGTGTCTTGAATATTTCAAATTTTTTGATAACTCAGAAAACTGAGTACAGGGGGATTGCTTAAAAATGATTCTATTTGCACTTGAGCGAGAACACAAGTTCCATGCACACACTTTCATTACATTGCCTTGTACAAGGACCCCAAAGTGCCACATAGAAAATATCCAATATTTGAAAATAATTTTCCAGAACAAACAGGCTGAATAATATGCAAGATAAGCTTCATGTATGGAAAATTACTGATTTGCTGTGTCTCTTATGTGGGCCTGTTATCACGTGTGGGACTGTTACACTCAGAAAGGTGTCCAGAATTACTCCCATGCTCTCTGTTTTTCACCTTTCACTGAAAAAAAGGCAATGGGTGCTTGAAAACAAGGCAGCTAGTTAATAATATTTATGTTAGCTATCTACATGGAAGCCTTGTGTTCAAAAAAGATAGGGCATAAATTCAGAAACAGGCTTGAAAAGATAACTCTGAAATTATTAAGGCATGATAATGCCTTGAAGCTGTGAGGTAGCTGTCTCACATTTTGTGTCAAGCTGTCTGTGATTTAAGTACCAAGTCTTGGATACAAGATCTGATCCAGCCAACACATCAGCCAAGACACATTTACCAACTTGCCAGTCAATTAGTGTATAGTAGCTGTGTTGATTAAATTAAATTATTTTTATTTTCTAACAAAGTTAGTCGATCCTTTAGATACCAAATAACATTGTTATCCCAGACATTGTTAATACCATAGCAGACTATGGGAGGTCTAACAAAAGATGCTCGTTCTCTAAAATCTCCCAGAGAGCCATATGCCCTGACTGAATGGCTGTGTGCCTTGAGATGGAATGTTCAACAAACAGGGTTCTAACATTACATCGTGGGAGGTGATCCAGGTGGTGATGATGCAGGGGAATTGCTGGGAAGTAAACCATCCACATGTGGCTCGAGTTCGTTCCACACTTCACCAACCTAGGTGTGACAAAAAAAAAAAAAAACATATTATGAGCAAACCATTTTGCAAACATTTGTCGAAAACTATCATGTCTAACACAATGCAATATAGAGCAAATTCAGTGTCCATTTTGATACTTTCTTTCATGGGTTCAGAAGGGGAAGGGTAGTGTAAGAATGAGATAAGTACTTGTATGGGCAGTCAAGTGGTGAAAGTGAAAGTAGGAAATAATCTCACATGCATTTTGTCAACATTCTAATAATTTTCCTAGCCTTTACATGAGGGAAATTACTGGCACATTGGCAAAATGCAAATCAGATAATTTTTTCATTTCATGAGCACACTATTTGATTACCTGTTAATATCATGGGTGACTAATTACACTTACAATCCTGCATTTTTTACTTGTTTATTGTATCGAGCCAAAGTGAAGAGTAATTTGTCAATTATGGTATTAGATATATACTTGAACCTGATATCTACCATGAACACCCTGGGACAGAAGCAGATAGCCATTGTGAGAGGTAGCTGTTGTGTCCAGACTAAAAAGCATGGATTGGTACTGGGGGGATGAAAATGCTGTTGTGGAAGGGTGACTGTGACAGAGAGGTAACCATCATCTGAGGTTCCATTCTTAATGATAAATGTTTCCCAAAAACATTTTATTAATTATCTTAATATAACTTAAAGGGCCATTGCTGCTCCTAATTAGTGGGATACTAGTCAAGCCTTTTTAGGTGACTGCCATCATTTTCAAGGTGAAACCCATTTTTATTATCAAATTTTGATCAACAGGATATGACTTAACTTTTGGCAAAATTGTAAAAAAATTCTGTGCATGGGGTTAAGAGCCACCTTAAATATTTGAAAATTTAAGGTGGCTCTGAACCCCTAGAATTTCTTAAAACTTTGCCAAAAGTTGCACCTTATCCTGCTAATCAAAGTTTGATGAAAAACAATGGGTTTTACCATGTCATTTTTGAATTATGAGGACTTAAAGCTAACATTAAGGATGCTTTTAGCAGGTCACACTGTTATTATGGTAACTTCTTCTGTCCCAAAAATGATACCAACATCTTGACCAAAAATTGGGCAGTCTTTTGATACCACAATTGTAGCATCAACTGATAAAGAGTGGTCATAATGGTCCATCAAATCTGAGTGAGGAAAGTGCTGAAAACTGTTTTGAGCCACCTTAATGACATGACCAAGCTTAAATTATATGAGGTTCTGAACGGATAGTGCGAAGTCAGCAAACTTCACTAAATGGCAGCAATAAGGCTAATATCTATAATGCTGTATAATAATAAATAGGTGAATGACATAAAGATCGTGTTCATGAAAAATGGTGGCTTGGATTTAAGCGTTCTCCAAAAGTATATTTGTGCTATCCGAATAAGTCAGCTGAAACATTTATATAAATAACACCAAAACAATTCCTCTAGAAGAGAATGCTAATTTTAATAAGTGATACATTTGGTTGAACTAGCGATATTTCCATACTGTAGATGAGAAAGTCCATTTTAAACTTGTCCACAGTGTTCCATAGCGTGCTTTTGGTTTATATGTATTCAGGAAGACCTTTGATTCAGACCTTCTTGCAACCCGAAGGAAGATATCATTGCTTCTAAGTCATTGGTTGATTCTTCTTTATGCTTATTCCTTACCATTTTGATCTCTTTACAAGTGTGTTTTGGTTCTAAGTACAGAATTTTGCCATCTAGAAGAAAACCATGACACAAGACACAATCTTTATTTTCAATGTTGCGATAAAAATAAAAAACTTTCCCCTACCCTTGGAATATTTTTCCTTAAAGAATGCCAGTAATGAGTGCTGGCAATAAGTTGACATCTTACCTCTTTGTGTCCCAATACCTGTGATGCAACCATTTTTTGTAGGATAATAGCCAATATCTTCATGTTAGCATGCACCAACTGGGTCTCTAACTGAAGACAATGCAGTGAATAAAAGTTCCGGTTTTCCATGTTACTGATGTCCGTCTCTTGTTCAACTATTTTGGACTCCAGTTGGTCGACTGCTTGTTCTTGTCCCTTTGCTTGTGCAGCAATCTGACGCTTTTTGATCTGCTGCATCTTGTGCAGTGAGTTTTGATGATCTTTTAATACTCCCTTTTCATGTCGTTCACACAGTTCCTGGTACAATATCATCATAATCAATATAATAAGCACTTAATGACGGGCCCCAAGGGAAACAGTGAGTTTTGTTTCCCCAAGACCCTCAATGAGGGAACATTGAGGTTGAGAAGAAACAAAACTCACTGTTTCCCATGGGGGCCAGTCATTAAGTGTTTTGTTACACCTACCAACTCAAAAATAAAAAAAAACTGTGAAGAAATTATTTGCTTGGTGCCGGCTGGCTCACAAATTTGCTGTGGTTTCAAGGAGCACGACCTGATCACGTACGAGTTGAAAGTTCAAGTTGTTGTTTCCCTAGGGAGTTAGTGAGTTTTGACCAACAACATGTGACACATTCTCCTCTAATCGAAAAACATATTTGAGTAGAGAGGTATAACAATCACAGTTGTATGACGCTTCCTCTTCTTCAGTTTTGGATTCATTTGCAGAAAGTAATCAAAGTAGTGCTTATTTGAAAAAGCATTGCTGCGTAATTGTTTTTGTTGATTTGTGCTCGTTTTTGAGAAATAAAAAGAAATAGCTTCGGTGACTTCATCGTTCAGCAAAACAAAAGGTTTCTTTTGCTTTTCATTCAACAAAAGATCTCTAAAAGATACCCTTGGAAAACTGTTTTTTTGCATACGTTATTTCTCGAAAATGAAGTGCAAATGAACAAAAACAATAAATTACAGAATGATGCTATTCATGTCAAAGCAAGTCAGTCTGCCAAAAATTAGCTTGATCCTGAAAAAATTAAAATCGGCCCAAAAAGCTGTACAATTATGCCCTTTTTACAGTGATGAAAGCCTTCAATTAAAAACTAATTCTGGTTTTCAAAAGTTGATATTACAAAGTAATTCCATACCTTGTAACTGGAAGTTAAGTCCAAGAATAAGGCTAAATATTCAACTGCACCTGCATCTTCTCTACTAAACTGGGGAGCAATGAAATTAAAATAATAATTATTAATGTGATCTTCCAGTAAAGCATTCTAATATACATGGCACATGGTAGCAGAAATGGTGGTGGCAGAAAATGTAATCTTGGGAAAACACAAGAAGGCCAAGAATGAACATGGATGGTCAGCATCAGAAGTCCTACAAAATTTTGATATATACCCCTCCCCACTCCCAACAAAAATATGCCCATTGAATCCTAGGCAAAAAAATCCTTCCAATAACAAGCCCTCCTGGAATAAGGCCATGGGCTTGTACAAAATGTACATACATTAATTCTAGCTTGTTATATGAAAATGTTCTGGTACAACAAGCAAGGAGCAAAACTATACTGTTATCAAAATCTGGGTACAGTGAGCATATCATCTGTCAGTTGCTCCTTCACTGTACACAATATGGAACAAAAAGGGCTTTTAGGGGATTACAATTTATTTTTTCGCAGAACGTCTCAGATATGTATACATTTTTGACACTTTTTGACTCAAAGGGTGATAGGCACTTCAATGGAAGATGTAATTTCTTACGGTAATAAGCTCTCAGTTTTAGAGCTTTCTTTGTATTTAATGTTGTTATGGTACGCTCACAGACCTGTGATGGTCACTCTACAGACCTAGAGTGATAAAGTTTTCATTATATTTTATGCTGAGATGATTAGAGAGTTTCACCATGCACATAGTATTCTTTAGTTAAAAGTACAATTTTCAGATTACGACATCCTTTCTAAATAGCAACCCAAATTTTTTGGAAAATGACCAAATATTGATATATCAAATGTGGGCTAACATTATCAATCAAACAGTATTATCACTGTCATTGTCATTGTCATTAATGAAAAATGGTATGGTTCGTAATACCTTCTGGCAGTCGTTCACTTACCCAAGTGGCTCCTCTTTCAGAAAGCTTGGAGTAATAAGGCGTGATTCCAGTAAAGCCATGTTTAAGGGTGCCCCACGTGGTGTCATTACCACTAGCCCACACTGTGGTTGGGTGCGGTTCATTGCTAAGAGCCCTATGAATGTATATGACACAATCTGTATGACATTCATACTTATCTCAGCTGGGATTAAATCATTACTTCAATAAAAGTTTGATAAAGGCAACAAAGGAAATATCAAATTTAAAAGACTACAGCCATGAAGGGATAATGGACAAACAAGGGGATGTTGGTGGTGATGTATGAAAAGGTTGGTTTTACCTATTCACACTAGCAACACAACAACACAATGACATAAACATAACAAAATAAGAACAACATGATAATGTTATGTTTTTCAGTGTGAATATCCTGGCATAATGACATATTAGCAACATAACAGCATGAACATAACGACATAAGGAAAAAAACTGATCTTTTCCTTGAGTATTTATGTTACTGTTTACATAAGCTATTATGTCACTATGTTATCATCTTGAAAGGTTGTTTTGTTGTTTTGTTGTTTAAGTCGGTTATGTCGCTATGTTGCTGGTGTGAATTAGGCCTAAGAGAATAGAGACCAATAATTCAGTGCAACCCAGGTGATGACAACACAATGTTTTCAATCCTTATTAAGAGCCTGCGGTGGCAATTAAGTGGTGAACATGTGTCTTTTGTTTCTATGCATGAAGCTGTAGATTCTATGTAATCAGATCCAGTTAGTTTAAATCTCTATCCTGGCTTCAAAATAATCATTTTCTATAGACAATAGAATTTAAGCAAGCAGAGAGGATGTCATTTTAATTTCCACACACAAAAAAACTGATCACTTAAAGCAACTAAATCAGGATAATTAAAAGTTTCCTGTTATACTCACGTCAGCTCTTTGGCAAATTGAAGCATGTCAGAAGAAAATGCTGTTCATGAACAAAATAAAAGCAACATTTAATAATTTATTATACAGGTAATACCCTTAAATTATAAATCAGTTGTAAAAATCTAACATTCTTGACCAAGAAGTCATCTTTCAAGTGAATGATATGAAAACCTATTAGTCCAAAACATTTCACTTTTAAAAACTACACTGTCTATCATTTTTCAGCCTTTTTTAATCTTCACAAGTGAAAAATGTTCACAAATATACTGTAAAAACATATGTTTTTTTACCAGTAAGTTACTGAAACATACAAATTTTAACTGATTACAATACACCATTTTTGTAGTCTCAGTATTGGATTGGAATAGCTTGCAACAGAGGCTAACACAAGGAGTCTTTAAGTGCAAATGTCATTAAATTTTTTTTTAATGATATTTCCCCACATGAGCCTTCATTGCAAGCTAATTCCAGTCCAATACCGAGAATAAGAACTTAATGGCCTTTTCTCTGAAATGAACAGCTACAACTTGAAACAATAAAACTCATGTACTAAATATATAAGATAATTTGGTTTTATCAACTGGGTTGATAATGTGAATTGGCCACTGTAAAGAGATTTGAAAGCTGATGTTTCGAGCGTTAGCCCTTTGTCTGAGCGATTCACTCCGACGAAGGGCTAAAGCTCAAAACGTCAGCTTTCGAATCTCTTTATAGTGGCCAATTCACATTATCAACCCAGTTGATAAAACCAAATTATCTTGTTATACTCCCCACTGACGCAGCACCACAGTTTCTTTAAAAACTTACCCCCTCTATACTAAATATATATGCAATGTTATGTGTAATTGTTCCTGGGTGGCAATGAAAAGATCTCATAAAGTCACCCAGTTCAGTCATAAAAGCAAATCAATACCATAATTTTTAAACAAATTGACCAACCTTAGTGGCTAGAAGAAATAACACAACATTTTCACTTATGTGGTCAGCATGTCATGCAAATTTATTGGTACAAAAGAAAGTGTTTGCAGTAAAGAGTTCAACTCCGAGAAGATTGGTTTGGGACCTTAACATGCCACCATTTCATTGTTTTGAGAGACCAACATGGCTGCTCTGACATCAAGTGAAAACACTCTCTAGTTTGGTTGTCATATTTAAAGTTAATGACATATCAACTTTCTCATGATTAACAAGACCTTTAACTGATGACTTACCAAGTGCTCTTGCTGTCATTCTGTCAGCAATATCTTTTAGCTTTTCCACACTATTATGAATGGCCTGAATTTGTAATCGACTGCTTTGAAAACTAGATTGTGTATCCATGGGAACTAATTCCTAAACAATGACAACATAACACTCAAACATAAGAAAAATAAAAAAAACCAATAAATTATCGATATTTGCCTACAGACAGTATCTGTTCCAAGAAGCAAACAATTTTCTGCGAGCGAAGCTTGAGAAAAACCGTGAGCTTTGAGGAACAGATAATGTCTAGGGACTAATATCTGAGTACATATTTAATGTCAAATGGAGGCTATTGTGTTTATTATCCTTCAACTATTTTTTGTAACACGCAAGATCTGTTGAAAATTGGCGAATATCACTTGGATATTCCCCAGTTGTAGCTGGGGCATATTATGTCACCAATCGTGCGCAAGCAAAAATGTTTGACGGATTATAATAATCAATACTTTGATTTCGTTGATGGATACAGTGTCTTACAGTGTCTCAGACAGCCAGGAGGGCCAATAACTAAAATCAACCAACCAGAATGCTTCATTGCAGGTCCCATATGTAATCTATCAAACACACTTGAGAAGTCCTAATTACTGAACTACTGGTAAGTTATGTAATGTATCTCAGCACAGTACTAGGGGAATACCAATCCTTGGTCTTCAGTTTGGATAGATTAAGTGTACAGAGGTCTGTATTGTCAGTTCCTACAATGGGCGACAAACCTAGTTCAAAAATGATGTTTTCAATATTTAACCCCTTTAATCTATTTCATTTGCATCTAGCGTTAATTCTCTGATACCCCAGTCCTCCAATTCAATGATGTGTAGGTTCTGTGGTCTGTGCAGTCTTAAAAATAGAATACAGTAAATCAAAATTATTTGGGGAGAAATGTTTCAGAGATGCTTAAAAATAGAATTGTACTGCAAAGTGTATCAACATTTTTGTCACTCATTGTAGGTCTGATATTCTTGCAGTTATAATGGACCTAACATTTTCCTTGCAGGATTTATAAATAAAAATGTCACAGGAGGGATTTTATATATAGATGTCTCAAAATGTCTCATGAACTCATTTCATTTAACCCGAGTTTTGTTACTAATAATACTTACAATTACCCATTAAATAAATCTGCGTAGAAGACCGAGTATCACCTTAGCTTTTGAGGCAAGAGGGCTGGTCATAAATTCATCAGGCATTGATTTAAACTGATCTTTCATTTTCTGACCAATATCCTACAAAGGATCAAACAATTATCTTTTACCACAGTTAAAATAATTATTATAAATCACAACTGTCATAAATTAAATAGAAACCCTTGGGACTGACAATTATTGAAAAAGTTTTCTAATGAAAGAACTGTTGCTTACATTATTAAAAAAAAGTTTATTAATTAATGTCTCATCCTGTAGGTTTCACAATAAGGGTTGCATACTACCCAAGAAATCACTATTTTAAGATAGGAAGTTTTTACATGTATCTAGCCATTTATCACTAATAAATAATTCCCAAGAGTTCTTTGCAAAGTCCCCAGTGGCACTTAAACTTGTGATCTCCCTGATACTATGTGTGTGCAATGACCATGGCTAAGGACTGAAATGAATAGAAAACACTTGTCTCACACACAGCTGGGAGTCTGAATGCTAGTCCATGAGATGTTTTTAAGTCACATGGCCATGGTTTGGCTTGGCATGGCTTCCAGTCATGTGTAAGAAGGGAATTCAAACAACTCAGTAAATAATTATTATGATACTTTACCTCCTGCCACACGCAATCCCACTCCACCCCACCCCACCCACTCCTACCTCTGAAAGGTTTATTCTAAAGGTAAGTAAATGGCCTACCGAGCCCTTCACTGTAAGAAAGAAGTTTACAATCTTGTCTTCACAGAGCACTGGATGTCTCACAACAAGCATCAGGAAGCGCTTTAAAGCTCTCTTTCTGGCCTCAATGAACTCTTTGCTTGCTGCAAACGAAGGAACAAGAATTGGTTTCCCACTATATTTTTCCTGAATTTAGGAGACAAACACACCTCATATTGTCATTGAAAGTTTTCCCACAATGTCTGAGATGGATGATAACAAAGCAAATTTATAGCAAGTTTTGGTGGCCAGACTCATTAAAATTGATATATCAACCAGGATGATATCCCTTTAACAGGAAATACAAAATTATTTACCACAAGTTTGTCAATTGAAAACAATCAATTAAAATATAGGTCTACCTAAAAATGAACTAAAATGCTGAGATTCTTATTTGGTGTAACAATATTTCAGTTGACAATCTAACGCCCATTTACTCTTTACCAAACTCCCCTTTAAGAAATAGGGTGCTTAAAGTTGCACTTGAAGATCTATGACTCAATAGGGACTCGGTGCCAGAACAAGCTGTTGAAGTAATGATGATGAGAGCAAAGAGCTTAATAAGTCATATGTCAATTTTGAAAGAAATGAATAACAATTTAATCATCTAGTTTCTATCAAGATCTAGAATGAAACACCCATGAAAGTTTTGGAGAACTTGAACTAGTTCTCCCAAACTTTTACTCCTGTCTCAAGAACTTGATACAAACATGGAAAATGTTTTCTATTTCTAAACGTACCACCCATGAGCTTCTTTGGAGGAAGAGTTGGAATGAGACGATATGGAAATCTCAATAACAGCATATCATGGAAGGCAACAAAGTCGTTGTAACGTCGATTTACGGTGCAGTTATGCCTCTGAAACAAGATGGACAATCAAAAGGAATGTCAAGTCAAGCTAAAAGTTTTGCTAGGAAATCCTCCAGAGAGACAATAGTCTGTCACCGGTTACCTCCTACATTTTGCACGATTTTCCTAACGGATTTCCAGTACTCATTATACTCCTAAGTAGAGATAGGCACTGAGGGAGTCAAGTGTCTCTGCAGAAGAACAGCACTAGCAAATTACCCTGGCAAGTGCTTGAGCCCAAATGGTCTATTCCAGAATATAGGGTTAGACTCACAGATTATTATTACATCAAGGAAGCATCAATAGCATTATACTGTTGCCTCCTACAGTGCAGGTCATCAGTGAGGATCTAACACATCTTACGATTTTGAGAATCCTAAAACCTGTCAAGAATTCTTAAGTCAGAGTGACATCTTACATCAAAAATTTATCTATGATCTTCAGGTGATCTAAAAAAAAATCAAGAGTAAATTTTCTATCTATAAGGCCTTACCTTGCTAGAAACATGATACTCATTGTGCTTTAAGATAATGCCTTTCTTTTCTGGTACAAGTTCAACATCAACTGTATCCAAACTCACTAGTTCATCGTAGTTGTAGCCCAGTACATTTGGGTTGTTTTCACGTCTGTGCCGCACACTGAGAGATTTGAGATCTGATAGATCTCCTAATGAAGGCTTTGGTAAATCTACAAACATATAGAAAGAAAGACTTTAAGTAGGACTGCAGAGTTAGACCACTTTTTTCAATGCCATTTAATCGTATACTCTGAGTTCAATGAATGCTTCACTGTCACAAAGCCATCATCAGGCACTGCCAAAAAATGAATATTAAATAAATAACTAAATAAATATATATATATAAATAAATATTTTTAAGAAATGGACAACAACTTTAAGTTTAAAACAAGACATGTTTCGATCATTCAACAATTATCTTCAGTTGTGAATTTGCTTATAAGTTCAGTGAATTAATACAAGCAATGGCGTATATGTTAAAACGTGATACAATTCAAAAGTTTGAAAAATTAACGTACAATTTTAAGAAGTGCGAGACATGGAATAAAATAATGGAAAATAAAAAAAAATAAAACAAATGCAATAATATGGAATAATAATAGAATAAATAAATAAATGCATGTGTGACAACAGAGGCATGATGTGTCATGATGTTATCATAGTGGTTTTCAACAGGTTGGAATTTTCTGGAATGTCTACAGGACAATGTCAATTCGTTTCTCTTGTTCAAGTGCCTATGAGATAAAAAATTATTGCTGCTTATTTGAAAGGCATTTCAAAATAAAGAAGAATGGTGTTTTTCTTCTTGGAATATCGTCTTTCCTTTTAGAGACATTTACGTTTTTGTATTATGCAAATGAGGAAAGTGATGACGTCATAAGTAGTTCTACTAAAATGAATCAAGAATATCTCTAGAAATATTAGAGCAGTACCCTTCAAGCTTCAATTAAAATGATACCCATGAGCAGCAAACATTGTTTTACTAAATTGGCACTTTAAGTGCAGACAATTTTCAGGTTTACATATTATAAAGTAAGTTACATCTCTCACTAACCACCATCAACTAATATGTTTTTCAGACAATAACATTGTGACATATCACACCTCTGATCTCAAACTAAGAATGTATTATTCCACATTTTCAGTATGTTTGATTGCATTAATTATTTTTGGCTGTTGCCTGATGATTGCTTCATGAGAAACTTGAATGTCAGAGCAGCAATTCAATGATGCTGAACAAAAGTGGTCTTACTCCTCAAATCTACTTATTTATAGCTCTTATGGTTATTTATCATAGGGCTGTGTCTCAAAAGGACTGGGAACTACTGAATTCACGAATTTGATTGGTTGAAATCGATATTAAAAGTGGTCTAGATTTTCCCATCTAGACCGGCATCAAGACCGGCATCGAGACTGGTTTCATTTGGCAGTGAGAAAGTTTGCAAACTAAAATGCAAAAATATTGACTATTTTCTTCTAACAATATTTATTTGTGGAAGTGCCAAAAGACTGATGAGAAAAAAGTATAGAGGACGAGCAAACTTTGGCAGAATTAAGTTCGGCTCATCGCCGTTTGCAAGCAAAATGTCAGCTAGTACAACGCAGTTACATTAAACGAATTAAATTTCTCTAGTTTACCATATATTAAAAAAGTCTTATTAACCGAGCTTAGTCGGTCTGTATTGGGAGAATCTTGACCTCAGTTGTATGTACAGACCTCACTGTGGTCTGTACTCACAACCTCGGTCAAGATTCTCCCATACAGACCTCCTGCTTGGTTAATAAGAGCTAACTATTAACCCTCTAATTGTAAATGAAGACTTCAATTCGCTATTATTCTGTTCTAGAAACAAAAATTTAATTTACATGTATGTTTTACTTTTGATTTCAGTGATAATTCTGTTTTCCTTCATGTCAAATTACGACAATGGATATAAGATAGAGGGAAATACATTCAAACTGGTTTGAATAATCTGGAAAAGAAAAATTTAAACCAAAACAAAAATACTTTGAACTCAGCTGATAGTTGGCAGGGAGTCTTATATAGTCAACTATCAAATCAACAGAATGATCAATCCTAATGCAGGCAAGTGCAGAAAACCCAGTTTTCACTACCACACAAAAAGAACAAAGAAAAATTGATGTGTAACTGATATTAATATAGAGCATTAATTGTCATGGGGTGTTTAATAAAGAGATGTATTTAAAAGACTTGAAGCATTTATCACTACATCATGGTTAAGTCTGTGCCAGATCAGTGGCCTGTACATAAAGCTGGAGCTTATCCAAGTTTCTGTAGCATGAAGTGACTAGGAGTGTTTCTACTCCCCCATGGATGAGATGCTAGTCCAACGCAGGGTTGCGCCATGCAGCATTATATTTACCGGCAATTATTTATCCAACTGGGAGGAGAGAGGCACTGTAAGTTATCTAGTGTAAAGTATCTTGCCCGAGAACACATGCAGCACAATGATCCTGACCAGGGCTCTTACTCAGACCTATCAATCTGATGTACAGTACGCTAACAAATACGCCACCATGCCTCAATTCATTATAGAGTGAGGATTTAAAGGACAATATTTTATGGCAACCCAAGGGCTTTGACAACCTTGAACTAGGAATCTTTTCTAACGACCTACAGTCTTTAGTGGAAAAAGCACATTTAATATTTTACCTGAATCAACAAACTGCTCCAGTGCTTTCTCAGATATATTTTTTCCTTGCTGAGCAAGAGCAGTTAAAGCTAATGCTTTGTACAGACCATCTCTAGAAACATACCCATCTTGCCTGGGATCTACAGCTTCCCAAATCTGTCAAAAAGAAAAAAAAATCATCACACAGAATTAATTCTGAAACATTTTGCACTTCTACTGTGGGTAATCAGTATATGAAATAGATTATTTACCCAAAACTTTGCACTGGAGTTCACTACTATGATTGATAACAAATTGATCTCTGGCCTTTACTGCCTATTACTTCATGGCTTGCTTGCTACCTCCAAGATATGTTAACAGGGCTGTACACCAGGCACATAGAAAAGATATCACCTACTCAAGTTACCGAATGAACTTCTGCAATAATAATACCAATTATTATATGGCTAGCTCTGTAACCAAAACAAGATGAACCAAATCCTATGCTGTGATTGG